TACAAAATTCTGGTGCTTATGTTATATTTCTACTGCCTAAGTTAGCTAAGTATATGACTTTCCTTAAAGAGCCGTATGTCACTTCACCTGAATGAATTGGTGAGCTGCTGCACACAGTCATGAACAGTCTATGTTGGACTGGTAAACAGTGATGTTACTATATGTTCGTGTATTTGTTTGTGGATGCATGGAGTCCGCTTCATTTCATACTAACCCCAGTCAGCTGCACACATTGTAGAAAGTGCTAGTTGCAGTGGTGGTGTTTGTTTGTGAGTATTAATTAACCATGTGAAAAGTGTTATAAATATGTAAGGGAAACACTGTCCTCTATCTGGATATTACAATGGAAATTTAGCAGGAAATGATCGGAGTTCTCTTTCTTTAAAGTGTTAAAAAATTCTCACCTAATTCAAACTTTTTGGTTTTGACCAGTTGACATGCTTTTAAAAATTCTTCCTTTTAAATCTTTCCCACACATCAATTCACAGTTGTCTCCAATCTAAAAATGTGTCTTTAAAATAATGGCATTGCAGCACTGTAGCTGGTTTAAGCGCCTGTCTAATAAATAGGATACGCCCAGTTCAAATCCCAGCAGTATCTTTTCACCTGGCAGAGGCACAGACTACCACCATTGACTTTGGAATAATGTTGTAAATCTTGTATATCTACTTTTAGAACTACAAATCACAATTCCCAGTTGCTAAAGAGTTGTCATCATTTATTCAAACAACTAGGCCTTGATGGCCAGTAAACCCCCTGCTCTTTTATCTTGTATAACATTTTAGTTTGGTTGTGGACATTGGAGGCTTATGAAGGCTGGTTATGTCTGAAACGTGATCTATTCTAAGTTGAAAGAGGTTGCTGTGGTTTATAATTTTTTTATACATCTGTCAATTTTATTTAAACACTGAAAGAGTATATAATTCTTCTGTTGCACACAAGAGGCTCCCTACAAAACAACAGAGCTGTGTTTGTCAGGACTTTGTACTGCAGCACGTTGATACTGACACAAAGAATACAAACGGCTGTCACTGTCGATCTAGTTCAGTTTGGAACTGAGCGCATGCATCTGTCCAACAGCAAGAAGAAAGAGAACTTTAATGCCCTGAGTCAAGAGACAATTTCGACTTTTGAGTTTTCACATTCACACTATTATCTCTGATCATCAGGTGTCTTGCAGGGTGACTTTGTTCAGCTCATTTTTATCTGACAACTCACACAAATGTTATGATTATGCAGAACTGTTCCTGTGTAGAATAAATCTCTGTCATTTTAATTTAACTAATTATAGTTATAGGAACTGACTCACCTAATTCTTTTGTAGTTTAAACAACTTTTAGATTAATTTTTAGGCTTGGAAATATGTGGCATTAAATGGACATTTACCATTTGACTTTATAGACATTTCATGGGCAGTTGGTTTTAAGTTGCTTTATGCTGAGTCTTTTTCCATATGGTGTTTTAACTGTTCTGTGGAGATAGTATATCATGTTTGCTAAAGCAGTATTTGAAGGGAATTTAAAAACACTGCCCCGTGTGAGGCTCGAACTCACGACCTTCAGATTATGAGACTGACGCGCTGCCTACTGCGCCAACGAGGCCTGCAAAGCTGCTTCAGCATGTGTAGTTTAGACTGCAGACTCACTACTGAAAGGGGGAGGTAGAAGCGTCTGTGTGATCGGGGGAGGGAGCGTGTCGTATTTCAGCTGACATGCACAGGGGTGGAGTTAAACGGTAAACACGTGCTCTGGCCTCTCGCAGTAGATAATACTGCAGTTTTGTATGCGTCTCTCTGTGCAGGATTAAAAAGACAGGTTCAGTCATTAAGAATTTTAAGCCATTACACCTAGAAATCTGAAGCAGCCTCTGTTTACAAAAAACAGACTGAACACAGCAGCTTATACAGAAAATAATGCCTTGGGAAACATTTGACAAGAAGCACTGTCCTATTTGTTTGGGCTGTAATTAGCATAGAGAGAATTGGCAGTAATTATGTTGTCTACACTTACAAGTGTTGTCTTCCTTTCTGCATCTACCACCACAGTTTCCCTTCCCTGTTGCTGCTTAATTGTAGCTGCTAAGTTCCCTCGCACAGTCTGTTTGTGTGGAGTTTATTTTATACAGCACTGATTTGGTGAGCTGAAGTTTCAATGAAATTTGGTACTGCAGTTTAAAACGTGTAATTTATTATTATGTACACACAGGATGTATCTTTGGGCTACATATATTCTAGCCTGCCTTAATAGATGATTTAAACATGCAGTTAGCAAAAGTCCTAGAGCCACTGCGTTTTCAAAACAGTTAAAAGAAAGCAACGTTAGGTCCTTTAAGACATGTTAGATTAACAGCCAGTTAATCAAATACTGTTCTGTTCTTTCATGTTGTGGTAGATATTTTGATTGTGGGTGAGAACCAGTTCTTGATGCCTGGAGTCATGAAACTGGTTTCTTCTTGCATTAGATACATTTTAAAGTGTGCGCTATGATTCAGTTCTCCAGACAAATATAGACTTTAGAGATTTTTTGATTATAATTGACAATTACTCAATATAGGATTTCCTAATCTCTGTCATGTTTTTATGGCTGTTTTTATTTGTATTTGCCAATTCCAGTCATTCCCTGGAAGTCTGCCCAATCTTCTATTTTTTGTTTCCCACATAAGACTGATCTTAGGTCAGACAAAGAAGTCACTTTCACAACAACCAAACCGTCTTAACAAAACCTGTGACTGAAATGGGAGCTCTCATGTGAGTCCTAAACATTAACATGTGAATGAACAAAAAGAGATGCTAATGATCAGGTTATTTCTTAAACTGCTTGCTAAACTATGGCCCCATTTAAATGTAAAAACGCTTCCCATCCACACTGGTCAAAATTTTTGTAAAGATATCCATCCATACTGAAAAAAACAGAGCAATAGAAAAATGTTCTCTTCTTCCCCTCAGTTGACACACCATATAACAGGCATTATTTGGTCTGGATAACCTGGTTCTTGAAAGGCTAAATCTCCATCCTGTAACCTCCTGCTTTCAATGATGACTTATTTTGCATTTGAATATACCTAAACACAGAAGTTGGTCCTATTGTTTTCAAACAACAGGATTTAAAAAGTGATTTGAACATGGCTCATAAATGCTATGTGTTGACCAAAATAAATTGTAAATCCTGTACTGTTTTGCTACTGCACTGAGTTGTTAATCAAATCGCTACTTGTTTTTATTTTATGCTGCTTTGTCATCTGACAACATTAAAACATACAGCAACATTCAAGCCGTATAAAATGGCCAGGAAGACTTGGTGCCATAATTCAATATTGCCTAATGTCTTCAATTCTGTCTGGCTTTAAAAACATTAGTTTATAGTGATTCAATGAGTTGTATTACTTTTATGGAAACAGTTGGTTGGCATTCTAAAGACTATTTTCTGGGAGTAAGGCATGGCGCTGTGGCTTAGTTGGTTAAAGCGCCTGTCTAGTAAACAGGAGATCCTGGGTTCGAATCCCAGCAGTGCCTTTTCTGTAGGTCAGTGCAGGTACCCCATTTGTAACAATCCACAGAGAAATGACAGGGAAGTGAAGGGACTGTCTGCAAGAAAGATAGATAGGCAGATCCGCAAGCCATAAACAGCTGTGTATGTGTGTCTATCTGCCTCTCTGTGCTGGTTTTGAGGCATTATTGTGAATGTTCTGATTATTACATGTAAAAAAAAAATGTTCTCTTTGTGTCATTTTTGGAACTATCTTGTTACAGCCTTGTTATGCAGTCTCACTGAAAACAATGTCTCAGAGAGAAGAAACACAACACACATTAGCTAAAGAACAAAAACACATACTTGCAAACAGTATCAGAAACAATCCAGATATCTTAAAAGAGATCCAAAGTTTAAAGAAAATTTTGTGTGGTGTATCACAATTTAGCTAATACTGTTTTTTTTTTTTTTGAGAAGAGATATTAAATATAATATTATCACAGTATCTTATTTACGTAGTATCGTAATTAGTATCATATTTAATTATAAGTTGTCTAATTCATGTCAAACTAAAGACCATTCTTTTTGGGTCATTGACATGGCGCTGTGGCTTAGTTGGTTAAAGCGCCTGTCTAGTAAACAGGAGATCCTGGGTTCGAATCCCAGCAGTGCCTTTTCTGCAGGGTCAACTGAGATGCAAGTGAGGTACCTTCCGTCATCAGACGATGTATCTTAGGCTCTTTGCTGTTGTCCATGTACCAACCAATTTGCCATGATGCTTGTGCTGATTTATTTGGCTTGATTTCCCATTCATGCATTAAATTATTATTATAATTAGTAGTAGTAGAAGTAGTATTAAATTGATATTAAATTGAATTTGTTTGCATCTGCCCGACAAGACATGCATGTGCACACACTTCAGTATGTGGTGTGTGTGTATCACGAGTTAGCTAATACAGGTGAGCAGTAATTTTCCTTTGAGAAATTATGTTACATGAGTATCATATTTAAATACAAGTAGTCTAATTTATATGAAAATATGATATAAGGTTAAATGTCTTCAACTGGTGAGGTCATCTGCAGTATACATGCTTTGTTCATTCAGCACACATGGCCAGTACATTTATCTCTCTGTGTAATCGTGATCTAATGTTATGTTTTTCATTCTGCACATTCCTGGGCTGTGATAAGAACTTTCACTGTCTCTGCTGCCAGGATGTTATGTGACGTTGAGAGGACGAGAGGGACGTTTGTGCATTTTGTCGGTCAGAACTGGAACAATTTTTTTATTTCTTGTTTTAAGGAACTGTCAGTCAATAAACAAACAGAATTTTGTTTATTCTTTTGTCCACTCCTGAATTGTATAAGGGGACTGAACGTGTTACACTTTGTGCTTTTGTCATTGCAATGCAGAAACTATTAACGAAACACATCAGATTTATAGATTCTTCCTCCTGTGTTTAATATGTTTACGTCTTTCCTCTTCACCTTTTTCAAACACTTAAACAAATCTCTGTCTGTGTCTCTCTGTAGGAGCTACAGTCTGAAGAAGGGACAGCTGGAGAGGGACTATGCACAGGTAAGATCGACTTGACTCATGCTGTATATGTGCTCAGCTGCATGTTTACAGACATGATTGAAAGTTGCCAGTTTAAATCTGAAATCTTGGAGAATGTGAATGAAGGAGGAGCCAATGGGAAACACTGTGATCTCCCAGAATAACTACTGAGACCTACTCGCATCTATCCATGTTGCAATACAGCTTTACTTGCTCACGCTTAGTGTTGGAGTTCAGAACAACTATAAACACTTTTGATTTCCAATATGGTTGTACAGCATGTCTCAAGACTTACTTCTGAAAGGCCATAAACCAGCCTTCATGTGTTAGTCTGAGATTCAGTTCAATAAGTTGCTTTTGTGAAACTCTATTTTGAGGTTTCCTAAACCTGAACATTGCTTTGTTACAGGCCATTGACATGTCTCTGTGGCCTATTTGGTTAAAGCGCCAATCTAGCAAATGGGAGATTCTGGGTGTGAATTTCAGTCGTGCCTTTTCAACAGTCACATTTTGTTGTATTTGTCTTGTGGGTGAGAATGGGCAATCATCTCCGAATATCAACTTAACTCCTGTGCAAATGTAATGCTTTGAAAATGCAGTTTAAAATTATGTACAGAGGACTTGTAAGGATTTATCTGATAGGTCCAGGTTTGTCAACTTTTGTGGCCTGAGATTATACTTGTATGTCTTTGTAGCTTTTTAAATTGTATTTTTTTTTTTACTTTGAATATATAAACAATTGCCAGTACATCAGCCTTAGAATTCTGATAAAGCCTGACCCAAAACCTGCATTAATTGTCTAACGTTTTACGGTTAGGGTTAAAACTGTTAAAACTGAGCATATTATCCACAGATGATAAGATTAAACCTTATAAAAATAGCCAGTAAGAATCCAAATATTTTGTGGTCTTACTCCATTGTCCATTGTTATTTCTAAATTAAAGGCAATCAGTTAATAGTGATTCAGTTTAATATGTTGCTTTGTTGAAACTCAGTTTTGAGGTTGCCAATTTAAACATGGCTTCTTAACCAATCTTTGACAAGGTGTTGTGACGTAACTAGTCAGTGTGCCACTCTTACAAACAGGAGCTCTAGGATTCATATCCTATCAGTACCTTTCCTGCAGTGCAGCACACTTGTACTTGAGGAGATTGGTGGTTGCTGAAAAGGGAAATGTGAAGTACTAAACAAATGTCAGTGCATTACTTTTAGAACTCAACTGAAGCCTGACCACAAGGCTCTGACCACAAGGCATTAATCACAGTTAAACTTGGCAGTTCAGCACATTTGTCACAGATTGAACTTAAATTGGTTAAACCGTTAAATGAATGCTTTAGGGTTTTTTTGTTTCAGGCAACCTACCACAGTCAGAATATGTGAGTAGCCAAACACATCAGAAAAGATTAAGAAACTAAATAAAATGTGTGAATGTTCAATGAAGGTCTTGAGTAATGGTTCAGTCCATCCTAAATTGCCACTTTACTTTTGGAGAGCCAAGTTTTCCCCTTGTGAGGCCTCAAGAAAAAATTTGGCAAAGCAGAACTGATAATTGGCAAACCCCTCATGTAATTAGAGCACCATCTATTCAGATAGCATGCTTTAATCCCTTTTTAAGATTTGCCCCCCTTTTTATGGTATGATTCGCAGAACTTTATATCAAAAAACATTTTTTCTTGCAGTATATATTGAGTCACTGTAAATGGAATAAATCACAAATTCAGCTACATCACAAGGCTACATTACTTAAATTTTCAACCTATCGCTGTTTCTTTTCTTTTAATACTTAAGTGAAATTGTGAAATAGTTGTAATGCTTTTAATCTAATATATAATATTCTGTATTGCTGCAAAAAGCCATTGTGAAAACTTAAATTGTGTTGGTGTATATACAACTGTATGTAGATTTATGTAGCCATATGAAGCATCTCTTCCAATCTGTTGATGAAAACTGAATGTATGCTTGATCACCTCACTGAGTTCAGTGTTACCCATACAGTGATTTATTTGTCATGGCCATATCAACATTTCCCACTACATATTGATTTTCTGATAGATTTTTTTTTTTACTATTTCAAATGTGTAAAATCTTATTTCATTGTAGACCGATGCGCACACGCATTGATTCGCTCAGCTACTCCTTGTCCCGCTCTCTCTCTTTCTCTCTCTCTCTCCCACAAACACATTGTCAATGGACCGTCTGTCATAATTGGACTGGCCATCAGGAGCACCGGGAGAAATCCCGCCACATTGGTGGGTCGTGAAAAAAATCCATAAAGTTTTTCCATCCCTCTCTGTCTCTTTACCGTCTCTCTCTGTGTGCACATGAGAGTATGCCGTGTGCGTGTGCGGGGACTGGGTTCAGTGGCCAATCACAATTTGTAGTCAACCTTCAACAACATATTTGTTTGACACAATGTAAAGCAGTCCGTAATCTTATTTGTCAGAAAGTATACTTTCAGACAAATAAGATTAGCCTAAACACTGTAGTTAAAATATGATTGAAAATAAGATTTTGAGGGGAGGTACATACTGTAGCCAACATAGATAATGAGCTTCCTAAAATCAGACTTGCTCATTTCTTTTTGATTAATTCTTCAAATGAATAAAAACTCTCACATGTTCTGCAGGCTGCATTTGGAATCACTTCCCATATTCCTGTTTGGTTATTCACAGATGTTTCAACTTTTGTTTCTTGCTCTTTCTCTTTTTCTTCAAGGCATTCTTTCTTGCTGTTTTCAGATTTATGAAATGCTGCATGGTAATCGTGAATCTTAGAGACAGCTAAGGGTTTTTGCATATTAATAAGCCCTATATCCACTCAGCAAGGCGTTGCCATTTTTCAGTGTATACTGCTTCTTATTCTTGCCACTAGCAATTCTACCTACCAAGCAGCCCTAAATGATCTCAGTGGTCTGAGTAAACTTCTCTAGCAGGCAAGATTTCAATCTCAGAACTCCCACTTCCCAACTAGAAGGTCTGATCTCTGTACTGGTTCATACAGCCACAATCTGTCCTCCTCTTTTTCTTACTGAGGGCTTAAAGCCAGGCGGACCCAAGTAACAGCGTAAACTCATTCAGTAGCTCCTGGGGAGATCAGAATTGGCATTTTATACAGCTTTCTAACATTTCATATACAAAATGACCAATCAAATAGAAAATCCCAATGAAATCATTAGTTGTTGCCCCATTAACATCCACTACTGGTCTTACATCAAGGAAAGAGTTGCTTTACTGTATTGCTTTAAAATGCTTCTCTAATTTTATTTTAAGATTTACGTTTTTAGACATTGAACTTGAATCGCATTGAAATAAGACAATGCTAATGTTGATATGAATTAAACATAGCTTTTGATCTCTTGAAACTGAAAACTATTTCAAGCTAAAGGGCTATATCATCAACTATGACATCAGTATTCAGACTTGAGGGAAGATATTTCTTTATACTTTTTCAACACAGTGGGAATGACTGAAGACCGCCTGCTTCCTCACCATAAAATTATTTTCACCCATAAGACAGACACTTTGTAGTGTGCTGCAGATTTGTCAGGGCACACAAAACCAAAATAACTTTCCCAGTAGAAGTCTGCGTCAGCATACTCGTCTTACTAAGCATTAGTTGAGCGATGTCTAAGTAGAAACCAAGCAGGGCCTGTCGCCAACAATGTGAAAAACTGTCTGATTTCTATTATATTTTGAGGCTGTTGAGCTTAAGCTCCCTTCACATGCACATTTACACACACATCCATACAGACTGTGAAAAAATGCTCTCAGCTGCAAAATCCTCCTGTAGTGTAATGAAAAACATTCTAATACATTATCCATCCAGCTCTTAACTAGATATTAACATATTCACTCTATGCAGCTGTCCACACAAATAGCTTTTATTTGTAGCCCTAATATCCATATATATACAGTATATACACAAGAGAGGATGTGATGGAGAGAAGGGAAGAACGAGGAGAAAAGTGCTTGTGTGTGTGTGTGTGTGTGTGTGTGTGTGTGGTTCTTCATTTGCATGTGGTTTGAATGATTAAGTGTAAATTTCCTGTGGTCAACCTCTCTGGTTTCAGACACTCATTATCTCCCCCTCTCCCTCTCTTTGTTTTGTTCTTTCTCTGTCTCTCACTATTCTCCCTCTGCACTGTCTTGTTCACCTTAGAAATAGAGGTTGCCTAGCAACAACCCCCCTACTCAGTAGGACAATGGATTCCTTCCTAATTGTAGGTGTGTGCATGTATGTGTGTGTAGTAATGTGAGGGAATGTTGGAGAACAGGGATTTCTTTTATAGATGCTTGATGAATGGGAAATAGATTTTGTTTCAACATCTGATAAGCAAACACATTCTTTGTCCCCCTTTCTCTTTTATCACAATAGCTTTATACACAATAGCAATAGCACAACAGCATTTTATTATGGCACATCTGCCCTTGCCTCTTGTCTCTCTCTCCACTAGACACTCAGGTGGTCGACCGCTGGCGGTTACTCAGGGAAACTCTGCTCACTCATTGGCCTCCTTGCTGGCAACACAGACAGAAATCCAGCCAGTCAGCTGGTCCAACATAGAGACAGACAGAGAGAAAAGTGAGAGGAACAGGGGGCAAGCTGAAAGGGACAGACAGAGAGGCAGGGAAAGAGACAGACGCAAGCATTGACAAAACAGAGAAAGAGCTAGTGAAAAAGAGCAGAGTGGTAGTGTAGAGAGGGCAACAGAGCGAGAAAGAAAGTGAAGATGCTGTCGTTTAAACTTTGTCCTTTCACTGTGTCAGACCAGACATCCCCTCTGTGAAGGAGCAGGCCACAATTACCAGCCGTCAATCAAAAGCTCAGTGTTTCTCTATCTGTCTGTGTGTGTGTGTGTGCGTGCGTGCGTGCGTGCGTGCGTGCGTGCGTGCGTGTGTGTGTGCGTATGTGTGTGTGTGTGTGTGTGTGTGTATGTGTGTGCGTATGTGTGTGCGTGTGTGTGTGTGTTGGCTATTTGTCCTGTATCCCCCTCCCACAATCAACATTACTGGAATAGTTTT